CACTACATGGCACCTAACAACATAGCAACAATCTGCTCCTGTAAAGATTACAACCTAGAGCATCTGTCACACGGGGTCAATAAGAATCAAAGGTGGACTTGATGTCACATAACAAAAGCAACACCCTGTAATAAGCTCTTTATATGTGACAGGCATTATGCTAAATTATTTTCATGCTTAGTTCTTAAAATTCTCATGAAACCACTCCAAGGATACTATTTCTATCTCAGTTTTGCATGTTTGGGAATAAAACCCAGAAAAATAAGACACTCACCAAGACCTTACAGCAATGACCACAAAAACTGGGATGCAAATTGGGGTATCATTAAATCCAAATCTCAATTTCTATTCTCCATCCTCTCTTACTTTTTTCTTCTTCAGTTCTAGTAGAGTTTCTACTTCAGACATTGAAATATTTGCTCAGACAAATTAATGAGAAAAAATATTTGTGCTCTGTTTGAGTAAGAAAGATACCAGGAAATGGTCTTTGTGAGAGGCTCCCCTCAGTTTTGTAACTGGGGGCTCTGAACAACTGTAGGAAAGCAAATATTTATTTGCTCATTTTTTTTTCTATTTATAAGAGTCAGAGACTTCTAATAAGTAAGATATGAAGATAGCAAAATGTGTTTGGTGTTAAAGTTCTGAAACAAGGCAGAAAGGAAACGAGTAAAGCCAATCCTTGAGACATAGATGTGTGTACATTATTGCATTTGTCATACAGATTGGGAAACTGAGGATCAGAGAGGGGAATCCACCAGACCAAGTTGTCACAGATACAAAGCAGAACTAACACTCAAATAGAAGTAAATCCCAGGGACCATCAAGGGAGAAGAGCATGAGTGGAATGTGGAATCCTATCCAGAGAAGCAGCGACACCAGTGACAGAGTCAGAGATGAGGACATGGAGAGATAGAGCAGCTGAGAACTCCAGACTCATCAAAAGAGAAAGGCTGTGTGCTGGCAGCCAAGAGGCAAGCTTTCAGAATGTGCCCTTTGGTTGTTTAAATTATTATATATTCCTGAGTGTTTTTGTGTCCATCCAAAAACAAACAAACTAACAACAACAACAAAAGACTACAGACAGAATAGAAGCATATACTGTTGAATGGTAATGCATAGCAGGGATTGTAATCATTGCAATTAAATGAAATATGATAGGATGAGTGTAAAACCGATGTTCTCGCATGTAAACTATCACTCAATTCACAATAAAAGATTTAAAAGAGTGTAAAACTTAAGCTTTGCATGTTAATACAAAATTAATAAGAACAGCAAAGATTAAATAAATAAATAAATAAATACCGGATTCTAAACACAGTCATCTTTCCTCTGCACAGACTCTAAGTCAGGTGTCAGTCCCAGGTCCAGCTATCCTCTAAACCAGTGATGTGACTCTGGGATACTCCTTGGACATTTCTGAGGCTCTGTTTCCAAATGAATACAGTGGAGATATTGCCACATGATCTCATAGGGGTATTGTAAATTAAATTTAAATAAATATAAAGCACAACGACTTAGTTGTTGGCAATAAAATTAGAGACTTTTATAAAAGTTTAGACCAACGTCAGTGTTGGTGGGGTGGACACATCATTTGTTCTGATCAAGTGTTTCTCATTAGCCTGGGAATAATGACTATCATGGATCTGGGCTTAGTGTAAATGAACTTGGGTTTGACCCCTGTTAGTACTGGTTTTCTGCAGTCCAAAACAAGAGCCGTCATCGATCTGGCTTCTGGTTGTAAGACAACACACTACATCAAGAGTAGTGTTCATAGTTGTACTGGATATTTACATAGCCAGGAGGTTATTAGAAAAAGGCTATAAATGACTAATAAAGATTTCTCCATATATCATTGCCATCTGAGCCTGAAAACACATGAGCATATGGAAAGTAGCTTTTATTACTTACAAGAAGTACATAGCACATCTTAAAAATGTGAATCCAATTTTGAGGATCTTCCTTCCCCTCCCCAACAAATCAAGACTTATTCCCCAAGGTTATCTGGGCAGTGGTGATGATTCTTCCATGCACACCCCACTTTGTGATGTGGGTGAAAAACACAAAGGAGATTACCTTAGTCTAACCTCCCCCATGACCAGGTAGGTCCAGATAGGTGGACTGCAAATGAATTTTATACATGGGCCACTTGTACCACAGCTGAGGAGACAAAGAAAATGTCGTATCCCACCTATTTTATACCCCCAACCCACATGACTAATTGCATTCTTTTAACTCTAACAAACATCAGGCCTCATTATGTGTGTTTGTAGTGAGGTGTTCTGAAGTATTAAAATTCCAGCAGGTAAATTATTAGGAAAACGATGGTCACCTGTCTTGTCTAAAGGACTTGCACCTTGAGAGAAGGGGTCTTCAATATTTGGAAAGCAGTCTTCACTAGCCCAGATTTTGTACTGGTCAGTGAGGTTCTCCTTGTACTGGAAAAGAAGTCTTCTGCCTCCCTCCCTCACCCTTTCCTCCCACACTGAGTGCCCTCTGCCTACTCCCCTTCTTTCCTGGTTTTGTCTTTGATGTTCATTCTCCTGCCATGCATTTCTGCTAAATATTCTCCTCCTCCATGAATCCTCTTCTGAGTTACTCTTGCTGGATGATGACTTCAAATGGTTCACATAATCCTGGATAGTTCAGAGAAGAACCCATAAGTGTACACCCTTAAAGTCCCATCAACATTCTGAAACTTGTTAGTAGGACATGGTGATCTACTTCTGAAAAAAACTGGCCAGGAAAAAACCTGAAACTTGTAACTAGAATATTCAAAGAGAGCTCTATCTGAAGAATATGTATAAAAAATAAGGTATTTGTGAGCAGCTGTCCTGAGTTCAAAGGAGAGATGGGGGATGAATAAGAATGGGTTCCTACCACAGACAAATTAGGCTACAGTTTCTAGCTGTTATCTTGGTAAGTCTACTTGATCTCTTCATATTTTGGTTATATGTTTTTTCAAGAGCAGGAATAATTATTTCTCCATTGAAATATATAATTTCTCTTCTGTGGGAAAAAAGGGCAGCATAGTGTGTGGTTACAGTGTCAGGTTCTGGAGTTAAATAGAACTTTACTTTTCTGTTCCATAAACATTCATGAGATAAGAGCTTTATGCAAAGAAAGCAATGTGCTAAAAGCCATGGACATATGGACAAAATAAACCTGGGTTTTGACTACCTGTAGTTTGAAAACTCTTGTATTCCCAAAGCATGACTCTAGGACAGTTTCTTAAATCAGTTACTTTCTTTGTCTATTCAATTCTGTAGGAGCAGTTAGAAGTTATTTCATAAAATACTCACCACATGTCAGGTTGCCAGGTTTTTCTTCTGCAGAGCTACTGGGTGAGCTAGAACTGCCAACCTTTTGATTACCAGCTTAGTAGATAGGGATAACAGAGAACAGTAGTTAAAATTAAGATTTTTAAATTTAGACTTACAGGAGAAACAGTATTGTT